CACTTTTCAATTCATAATTGTGGAAACCGCCCTCTATGTTCGCACTTCCACTTTTCAATTCATAATTGTGGAAACCGCCCTCTATGTTCGCACTTGGATTTGATAGCTGGTCAACTATCTTGGCATCTATGACTGCATCATCCTTCAACTTGACAAAATTGTTCTTGTTCACTGCATTTATTCACCAAACAAAAGGGGAGGATTATAATGAATACATTATTTAAAAGTAACCATATATCTAAAAGTATAATTAAACTTAATAAGTTATTGTGTGACCTAACTTCTAAAACAGTTTTTCTAAGTATAACTAATTTGACAACTATTCAAGTAAGTGATGAACATTATTTTATAAAATTTACGACTTTTAAAAGAAGCTCTTATTTAAACTACATTTCTTCAGTAGTTTTAACTAGAACAAGGGCAAACCAGGACGAAGAAGATCTTGTAAGCTTTTGGGCATTGGAGTGTTTGGGAACACAGACTTCCAGTAAAGTTCAGCGGGCATGGAAGCATGACAGCTTCCCACAACACCAAGCTGCCAAAAAATGTAAATCAATATTAAGTGTCATTAGCTTCTCTTATATATAAAAAATGAAAAACAACACAAAAGCAGATATAATTAATTTACAATGTTAGCTTACACAGAATAGAGCAACTATGAATTCGAAATGAAACCCCATAATTTCAAGCAATGGCTTTAGAAACTTTACTTTGGGATGAAATTAAAGCTTGTTGCCTGTAAGTATATATAGCCAAGAGTCCGCACTAAACCAGCATTTCCTTACCAAAAAAGGAAAAAAAAAATCATTGAAGATATGATAGAGATTTCATCTGACAGGTGAATGCATGTGTGGGTGCTTGGAAAGGAGGGACACTTGAGGTGCAACTTGTGTTAATCATAAGGATAGAGATTCCTTTTTTAGCAATACGCCAAATGTTGTCACAGGCCCCACACAATGCTATTGGACAAAATAATAATGCAATTTACGAGGCAATTTGCAGCCGTGGAATCTTCAGCGAGTAGTGGGCCAACTGCGATATTAAGAATAAAATTAGATAGTCAAATTTTATATTTAATTTGCAAATTGTCATAGATGATGGATTATGCTAAGTTTCACGTGTATGAAAAATGAAATTATATATCTTAAATGTAAAAAATTATTTAAAATTTATGTCATTATGGTCAGTATCTGAATTTTCAATTTTTAAAAAATTATTATCGCAAAATGTTAATACATATTTAATGTTAATTTATTTTATCAAAACCATCAAATTTTATTAAAAAATAATGATTTTATTTAATTTGATTGTTAGAAATAATTAATAATTAATAAAACAATTGATTCATTACTTAATAAATTAGAATCAATTTATAAACTGATATTCTCAAATATCATAACTATTTGTTTAAGAAAAATGTTATAAATGTCAATTAAATTTTAATGACTTTAATAAAAATAAATAGTGATAATAACCACACATTGAAATGGGAAGTGATTTCCTTTCACTTATTTACCAACCCCACTAAAGTTTCTTTCTTCTTTTTTTTTTTAACATGAGGAAATTTAGGGGGAAAAAAAGGAATTTTTCAAATACTTGGTGCAATTTTGGGGTGGAGTATTTTAAAAACCAATCCTTGAGTTAGGATGCACTTATAACATAGTTTATAGCCATTAGGGCAAGAAAGTCAAGTGTATCCCTACTAAAGTATTTGACATGTTGTGATAACAACAATGAGTTTGTCTATTTTGTGTTTAAGATAAGACCTAATTATTAAGTAATAATTGTTAATTTTTTTCTTAAAAGATGTGATATTTTAAAATAAAAAATTAAAATTTTATCTTAATTTCAAAATAAACCAATTAAAAAAAACTAACATGTGATATTTGTAATTAAGACAAAAGTCAAGTTTATTATTTTTAAGATAAAAATATTAAGTAATTCTATAATTGCTACTTTTTATTTTGTATCTTAAGAACACAGAGTATAATATGGAATAGGTAAACCCAATATAATTTAATAATTAGTACTTTGGTATGGTAACAACAATTTAATAATTGAAGCTTAGTGCAGCAATGTAATTAAACTCGTGGAATTACTGAAGTTAAAGTTTGATAAATAAAAAAAATTATTTTTAAGTATTAATTTGAGATGAAATCCAAGAAACAAGAAAACTTGAATTATTACAAGAAAGGCTGATATGACTTCTACTGATTTGGGGAAATTCAAGAAATTATTGAATTT